AGGCATCCTAATAAAAAGATGTTAATAATGTTAATATGCTGAAAAACTGTAAATAAATTTATTGCGAAAAATATTACTTCGGCCAAGAATCCGGATCTCTTGTTCCATACCAGATTAATTAAATCACTGAGAAAAATGTACTAATTAAATCAACAAAAGAACTTAACAAGAATACCATTTTTGTGAGACCGAATAGAATTTCTTGTCATCATAACCAATCCGAATAATATCAGCTTGCTACCTGAAAAGAGTCCTTTTGTTAGTTTAATTAGAACATTTTTCTCAGTGTAGTGACTTAATTGAGCTTAAAATTATGTTGTGCAAAAGAGATGAGAGAATCAAAATTCCATTTAATCTCTCATCGGAACATTTATTTCAGTGTATAAATTCAACAAAATATGCATCACAATTTGGTACATTACCTCTTTTTTTCTCTCTTCGATGTAATCCATATGCATCGATTAATGGCTGGCGGAAGAGCCGCGTACCAATCTGATTGCACGCCAATTTGAAAGCGTATTGATACACCCACGCACACACGCGGGAGTGAAAAGCCAGCGTGCTGCATTGCGACGACGACGTTATGTTCGTTCCCTCGCTCATTCTCTTGGCGGACGCGCATGACGTGAATCTCCGTTATTATCTCGTCGGTGTCGCCGTCGCGTCGCGTCGGCTCCGTCGTCCGGCCAACGCAATCTTTCTCCACTGCGCGTTGTCGATTCCTCCGGCTGACCGCAGCCTCCTTTTCCACTGGGCGCAATGCAGTGGTTCCCTCGTCGAGACATGCACTTCATTTTTCTACTGCATTTCTCCAGTTCCTTGACTTCTCTTTCTATTAACGAATTCGGTTGAGAACACTGGTGTACACTGATATATATTATGAAGTCGTTGTACACCAATTTAATTTGAGTGTAAAAATGAAATGCAATTATTTTGAATTATAAGATAATAAAATATATACATGCTTTACTTACTTAATAACACAATAAAATGTGTTGAAGATTTTAATCCGCTTTTATATTTGTATTAAATTAACATATTTTTATGTTGATGGCTTTAATGTGCATTAGTCATACTAAGCGCGTCTAATCGAATTTGCTATATCCTTTTTTCTTTCTCTCTGACGAATATTCTTATATATCTTCAAATACAGATTTATATTCGTGTATCTACATTTTCATCTTTTCATCTCTTACAGAAATCCTATTTAATATTGGTCATTTTAATATTGAAAATTACTTATTTTGAGTAATAAAAGTGTTGTCGTTCACAGCTTTTAATTACCAAAATAAGTAATTTTTCAATATTAAATTGGATTTATTAGGAATGTGAAGAGAAATTGAAAGGTGACTACTAAATATACGATATCATTTAATTACTTATTTTGAATATAATTAAAAGCACTGAGCAACAGTAAAATAAATATTTAATCAGTTCCTTCTAGTATTAAATTTCTGTAAGGGCTATAGATAGATACAAAAAATATTTTATTTCCTTATTTTTTTCTTTTTTGTTATGTTAGTTTCTTTTCCATTATTCGTCGTGAGTTTTTTCACTTGGTTGCATTTTACTCTTCCATTGTACGTCGTACTGACGGCGATTTCTTCTTCTGATTCTGCATTTTCTTTTCTATTGACAATGAGTGCTGCATCAGCTGTTTGTGCATTCCTTAGTCACTACGCGCGCATTTCCTCTGTTTGGTCCAAGCCTCTCTCTCTCTCTCTCTCTCTCTCTCTCTCTCTCTCTCTCTCTCATTTTCTCTTTATCTTTCTCCGTTTCTTTGACCACGCGATGCGTTTTTGCAGGAGAGAATCAAAACGCGTTTATTTCTCAAATATTTACTAGACCACGTGGCGCGGTACATACATCTATGCGATATATATCTGTTATACGATGTGATAATACCGTAATTATTTATATGTAACAAAGTGATAAAACGTGTGAAATGAAAATGGAGGTAACGAGCAAAATAAGGAAATAACGAGTCTTTTTGTCTCAATAATTTGCAGCACTTAACATAATGAGAGCTGGAGAATGTTAATGTAAAGTTAATGATGAGGTTGCTATGTATAATTTTTCTTTTTATCTTTTTCCGTTTATTTGACTATTTTAATATATACATACACGGTTTTAATTCTTCCTTAAATCGTAGTTTATAAATTTTCTATATAATATAATAAATAACATTTGGTAGTTGTCTCTTATTTCAAAATGTATAACAATATGCAAAAAAATAAAAAAATAAAGTACACAATTCGAAAGATTGTTTTCATAATTTGTATCTACATATTTATCTATATAAAGTATTATAAAGGCTGCACCAAATCTTTTAGGCACGGATATATTTTTATTAACTTGAAATTAGTTTTTTATAACAAAAACTATAAAATATATCGAGAATTAGGCTTGGTTGCACCAACGTTACTTTGACTTTAAGCGAGACTTAAAACTCTCTCTGTCTCGTTTTAAAGAAAAGAGATAGAAACAAAGAGAGTTTTAAGCCTCGTTTAAAATTAAAGTAAATTTGATGCAACCTTAAATATTTAAACTGTACATATTGTACTTTCAGCAAATAATTGTATCAACAGGTGATACAATCATCAAACAATTCTCTAACGGATAATGACTCATGCAGTGATTATTTTTGTCATCAAATTTGTTTCCTGTTTTTTTCTATGTTTATTATTATATTTAGTACATGAACAGTCCATGTAAATAATTTTATTTTTGCAACAATTGCAATATATCACCAGAGTGGTAAATGCAGCGAGCATTATTACCGACGTAACTATACAGCGTAATCCCGATATTTCCGATTACCTCGCCTGGCGTCAGGCGAGCCTTTGCTGTCAATCGTTGACACATGTCGCCGCTCGCGTCATGTCGGCATCCAACAGGAGGAGATTAGGTTAGCACGGTTCGTAGTATTGATGATTTCAAAGTTTCTGAAATCGAACGAAGTATCGAAAGAACGGGGAATACAAGTAAGAAGAGAACCTCGCCGTGTTCTAAAGAGAACGGCTAGAAGAAGGAGAATAAATCGAGAATGGGATTTCTCGTTGTTCTTAGACGCGAGGCCACGCCATCTGAATAACAATTGATCTAATTTACGTCGAGATAAGCCTTCCTCGCGAACAACCCGAATCACGTTCTGCTCTTCCGTCGCTCTTCAACTTCGCCTCCTAGCACCGGTGATGTAATTCTGCAGGGTGAGACGAAACACGCAAACTCCCTGGACATGTTCGCACTCACAACGTGAACGAGGATGCAAACGATGCTGCAGGCTCGTCGGGAACGCTCTCAGAAACGCAAGAAACTCCTGGCCCAAACGGTGAGCATCAAAATTTACCCTAGAAAAGAAGCGGCGATCGTCGTGGTTTTAAAGATTAGTCCTCCAGAGTTGATGCCAAAATCTATAACATAGTTACTGCCGCTATTGAGACCTGTTGAGATCTTAATTTATGTTGATTAAAAGGCATTAATTAATTTCAAGAAACGACATAACTTGTATAACAAAAACGAATACTAAGTTTATTTAATAATAATAATAATAATATTTCAATAACATTTTAATAATAATTTATATTTGCAGATTAATATAAAAAATATAACTGAGTGGCTCCAGCAGACCACTAGGAATTAAGCCAAGTATTAACATCTTTACATATTTGTCCTTTCATTTGCAGTTGGGAGTTTCAAGCGTAGACGAACTGCGGCAGATTCTGGGAACAGATGTTGAGGACACGCAGAAGAAGAGAGGCAAGCTCTCCAATGACAAGCCCGACAGCACGGTAAAAGATTTGAAAGATGATGTTCCAACTGATGAGATTGTATATAAGGATTCCTCAACGTTCTTGAAGGTATTTATTAATACTTTGTACATTTCATTTGTTGAGATATTGTATGTTTAAAATATCTTTTGTGTATGTAAAGGGAACGCAGTCATCGAATCCACACAATGACTACTGTCAGCATTTTATTGACACCGGCCAACGGCCGCAGAATTTTATCAGAGACGTGGGTCTGGCAGACAGATTCGAAGAGTATCCGAAACTGCGTGAACTGATCAAATTGAAGGATGACCTAATTGCAGAGACTGCGACTCCACCAATGTATCTAAAAACAGACCTGCTGTCCTATAACCTGAAAGAGCTCAATTGTAAATTTGATGTCATTCTTATAGAACCACCTCTGGAAGAGTATCAGAGAACATGCGGCGCGACGAATGTACAACTTTGGAACTGGGATCAAGTTAGTCTTGCATAGTTACATCACACTTTCAATCGCGACGTTATTTAAATCTTTAAATTTTTACTTGAAAGAATAAAATTTCTTTCAATAAATTAAAAACGTTTTCTTGAAAGCATACTTCAATTTTTTCGTTCAAAGCGAAAATAAGTAATAATAATGAATATTAAATTTCACTCATGATAATAATTTTGTTAAACAAATTAGAACAGATATTAAAAATTTCAGTTTATTTTATAATTTCTCCTTTCTTTGTTTTAGCTTTTAAATGAGATTAATAATGTTTAATGCAAATAATTTGAATTCTTTTAATTATCACATCCGTGTAGATAATGGAATTAGATATCGGTGAGGTGGCCGCCAATCGGAGCTTCGTGTTTTTATGGTGTGGTAGCAGCGATGGATTAGACATGGGACGATTTTGTCTACGTAAGTGGGGTTTCCGTCGTTGCGAGGATATCTGTTGGATCCGCACGAATATCAACAATCCAGGTCACAGCAAAAATCTGGATAGTAAAGCTGTACTTCAAAGAACAAAGGAGCACTGTTTGATGGGTATCAAGGGAACGGTGCGACGCTCTACAGACGGAGACTTTATCCATGCCAACGTCGATATTGACCTCATCATATCCGAGGAACCTGATTATGGATCCATCGAGAAACCTGTAGAGATTTTTCACATCATTGAGCATTTCTGCCTCGGCCGAAGAAGGTACATATATAAATGAAACTCGCTTACTGTTTTCTTTTGGAATAAGATAAAAATCAATTTCGCAGTTTTACATAAATGTGAAATTTTTTTTATTGTAATAAGATTATTAATATTTTTTATATATGGAAATTAAAATTATATATTTCTTCTATATGAAAATTAAGTTGTTAATATACAAATTTTGAAATGATATTAACAAATATAGTGTGTATTAAATTTTTTTATTGATGTATTGTTAAAAATAATGAATAATGATGAATATAAGACTTATATGTTATTGAATACTAAAGTTATTTGTTAATAAGAAATACGTGAAGTAAAATTATTCCATAAAAATATGATAATCATAGAAAGATAATTTTGAAATTTAAATCCCTTCTCTAGTATGTACTATTTTTTTAAATTTTAATTATTTTATTCTTATTTAGGTTACATCTATTTGGTCGTGATAGCACCATTAGACCTGGCTGGCTTACTGTCGGTCCGGAACTAACAAACACTAATTTCAATGCGGACCTCTATCAGAGTTACTTCACCAATGGTCAAATCACTACTGGTTGCACCGAAAGGATAGAAGCACTCAGACCGAAGTCACCGCCGCCAAAGGGGAAAGTATCCGGCCGAGGAAGAGGAGGCTTCAATCGTGGCAGAGGCAGAGGGAGATAAATAAGTCAGGATCTTATATTGTACGTCTTTCGAACATTATTATAGATGTAAAAATATAGCTGTAAAAAAAAACCTGAAAATATAAATACATAAATAATTATGAAGACACACACAAGATGTGTTCTTCCTCCCTTGCTGTAGAATACTTCAATGTAACAATATTCTTCCACAAAGTCGAAGTCAATCCATTTACCATGATAAGCTCGATGGAATAATTATTAAAAATTAAGCTTGCTTATTTGTCAATATCAAATATCAATTTTTGGTCAAAAATATTAATATTTTTATAATCTATTTTAAATCATTCATAAAGATTTGTATATTTGTATTTTAAACATCTGACTCGCTAAAAATCTTTAATTTTTAATTAATTAAACTCAAATTCAATCAATTTAATTAAATTGAAATTGAAAATAATTAAAGTCTGCCGTTAAAAAATAATTTTAAATTGCATAACTGAAATAATAAGTAAAATCAGAATGTTCAATCAGGATTCATCATTGACATTGTGGGGAATAGGATGAAAAAATAAAGATAAAACATGTTTTAATATCAAACTTATTGTTATTGCAAGGTACATTGTAAAAAACGCAATTTGTCATTCGAACGCATTACTACATGTAACTTAACTATCTGCGGATAGTATATAGTATTGCCTCTCTATCTTTAAATCATTAACGATAAATCGGACTGCCAGAGTCGCAGCTTGAGGGATGAGGGGATTGTTAAAATAAAGCGCTAAAAAGATCGCGTAAAATTTAAATTCGACAAATTTTCAACTAGACCACGTCTAACTGCGGTTATAAATCGCACTAGGAACAAACGAATATACATATACAATAAAAAAATAAAACACATACTTATTTCGTTGTTGTGTTGCGGAAGCGAAAAATTGTAGTCGAATCTTATACGAGTAGGATAGATCAATGAATTAAATAGTAGCGAAGATTCATCGTCAGGGGAGTAAAGAAAGACACGCTTCTCGTTCAGTCGTTCAGAATATCATCGAGTTACGCATTACAAATAGAAAAGTTTTCGATAAAGAAACGAATATTATTATGACGTTCGTAATTATTATGGCATGCTTTCGAAGGCTTTTCTCTTATGTTTTTTTATAATCTGTTTAAAATTCTTCTGTCGCAGTTCACGTAAACTAAATGCTTTCCGCATAAAGCAACATTTAATTTAATATTGGATATTTATTCTGAAGATACGAATCATCATGCTACCTACAGATGACGACGGAAATTTTCAGGCGTCACTGCCACGTGCATATGTTCGACGAGAAAGTCAATGCGACTAGTAGATAGATCGATGTGCGATAAATTTAAAGGCTTCTATTTTTTTGTTTTTTTTCTTTTACATAAAACCTGTCCTTTGTTAACATAATTTCTTAAACGTATATTTTCAATATGTGATAATCGTTTAAAAAAATTAACGCCGCGCTCGTTCAGAAAGGCAGAGAAAGATAATTAATTTTCTATTTAAATCTGAGATCAAGTCACGTATTTTGTACTCTATAGGCTGAGTCGAGTAATTAATTTATAATATATATCATAAATATATAGAGCTCTTAAAATTAAGATCGCCGTCAGCAAGAAGAAAGAAATACGCAAAACTTACAAAGTAGTTTTATTGGTCCCAGTAAAGCTTCCGGTAAGTGAAAAATGAAATCTATCTGAGAAGGCAAAGTTCCGCAAAGTCCGTTCAAATGTATTTTTGCGTGGACGAATGTATTAGCGACAAATATACATATATTTCGTTTCTTTTTAATTTGTAAGATCGGACTCACTTGACGTCACAAAGATCATATCTGCGTACCGAGGTCACGATGTACTAGCAACAAAACTTAAGCTCCTATTGCGGAATAGAGAAATATTGATTTATTCTACTACAACAGAAGGTTCGGTTTTTTCTTTTTCTTTTCATTTTTTCTTTTTTTTTTTGTTTAATTAAATACTAAACGCGCAGAAGTAAATCAAACGACGTCACTTGTTTATTGCTTATCCTTATCGATCTAACGTAAAAATCGTCTATTCATAATTTCAACTATGATGGAGGATCTTACGTACCTATTCTCTCGTAATGCGTTCTTAAACGCAACGCTATCTCTAACTTTCTCGTCGTTAATCCTCCTACTAAACGATGGCATAATACAAAAGATCAGAATAGAGTATTAAAAACCCTGGTACAACATGATCATAAATAAAATACATAAACGATCCAATTAATAATAATAATAATAGATAACAAAGTCTATTTTTTCTTAGAAACGATTGTATTTCGATGTTGAACACCAATTGCATACGTCAACAATCAGTCATCATGTTTTCTTCTCTCATTTCCTTATTATTTTAACGCGATTAAATTAAGAATGGATGACCATTATACAAAATTATTGTACGAAATTAATGGTAGCGTGTATTTTTATCGAATAACTGTTGATATACCATATTAATAATTGATATCCTGCTTTATATCAGCAATAAAAAAAAAACGAAAATATCGTATGAATTAAACTGACGAATTTCGTTGATAACGAAAAAAAAATATATAGGCGAACTTAAAATAATAATAATATCAGCGCGCGAATACACAATGTTGCGAAAAATCGGATATCTACGTCGTCGAAATGAATCGTCCATCACGTCGAAGAGACACCAGAAAAGAAACGAAACGCTTGCGTAGTACGTATATTATATACGAATAAAATACATCGAAGATAATAATAAATAATAAATTATTCGCGCGCGCAAGACGCAAATATCGTTATTGCTCTCCTCGGAGAAAGAATGAATAAATAAATAAAAAAAAAAGGAGAAACTCAATTTACATTTCATTTATGCGCGTTATACGCGACAGCGCGTATTTTAGGGATTATTTGTATTCGAGTACTCAGGGGAGTACTTCATACTCGGGACTCTCACTCGACTTGTTATACGAATCCATTTCCGACAGCAAAACGCGTTCGATGCGCGAGACTGAAACGAAAATATTTGCCGAATATTCGTCTTTCTTTAAATAAAAAGATCTCGAGCTAGCACTAATGTGAACAGCTTTTGCACAGAAGAAACCAAGCGCCTCTTCGTGTAGCAAATTCGAAACACGCTCCTAAAAGCTTCTTCCATTAAAATTATTTCCGCAATCTTTATTTTATTACTGCATCTCAACTATTTCACGATAAAACGTTTTCAAAAGGAATAATTTCTATAATTTTCGTAAAAGCATCTCTATCTATTTGGCGCAGCCAAGACAAGGATTAACGTATTGAACGCAGCGACCACGCTGGGCCTGAATTTCGACTTCAATTCGAATAATACCTTGTCGCAAATTAAATGATACATTAATTGATAAAAATACATTTGCGTTTATACAAAATCATTTATTCGCTATCTAATAAATCGTCGCGATTTATATAAATGTCTCCGGAGGGAAATTTCCGGTGATTAAAAAACGAACTGGCGCTTTATTTCTTTTATATAAAAGCCGTGTATTAATCACGCGCACGATGCGACACACGACAATACGGTAAATTAATTAACTCTAAATGATAACGTAACTGTTTTCTTTCGTGAAGCATCAGCGTGTGTGTACCAAGAAGAGTTTTTTGTGGGGCGGAGGATGGCGGGCAGGGTGTATATGCATGCGTGGTGTGGCAGGCACGGGATGGCGATGGTGGTCGTTTCATCTATTCGCACACACAATCGATTCGGTAATCAAGCGGTGCGGAGGTTTTCAGCGGTCAGAGGTTGATCGTCACAGGGTTTAGCCCCGATCGGCCCCGCCATCATCAGTCAAGTCTCAACAGTCACAAATATGTCGACTCCCCTGCAAGCAGACCTATCGTCAGTCGTGGAGAAAAGTGCGATGTCGAGACGATATCGCAAATTTTCTGGGTCAACCAACAGCTATTGGGTATTTAGGAAGAGGGACTGTGCGAACTAATGCCGTTTATGAAGAAGCGAGGACAAGCGGAAAAAAAAAAGAGAGAAAGGACAAAAGATCTTTTTACACGCACATTTATGTTCGAGGATGTAAAAAGATATGAAGCTGACGTTATTCTTCCGTTCCCCAGCTCTCAACGCATTTTTCCAAATTCCCCTCACTTTTTTCGAGTAAGATATTTAAATTGCAATGCTGTTCTGTTGGATGAGAATATTATTTCGATAACATTTAACGTGTAAAAATGGTGGAAAATTAGAACTTATCGAATAAAAAAAAAGGTAAAATACGTCGAGTTTGAGGAAAATTATGCAAAAAAATAGATTTTATTATGCTGCATTTTATTTGCATAAAATATGAATTTTCCGAAAATTTTTTTGCTCTTGAACTTACCCTGGCGAACACAACGAACCTGATTGTGAAAAGAAAATAGATCAAGATCATACCTTGCGATTACATTACTCACTCTTAGATTTATAAATACGAGAGACACGCTCTAAAAGTGGATTATACAATTATTTTATTTCGCAATAATTGATAAGAGATTTAATCATATGCCTTTATTACATTCATTGCAGAGTTCGATTCGACAACTAATAGTTATTAGTGTCAATGCTTGCGATCGCAATGGGGTTGTTAAGGCAGGAATATTAATATACAAGTTATATCGAACATGTTTTCTCGGACAAAGGACAGGCTTATATAGACGCAGACAGACATATCCGTAAACATGATAAAATATAACTCTAGAGTTTGTGCGCGCTTTAATCTCTTTATAAATTCTGGAAATGATCAACTGGTATAAATTTGCAGTTTTCGTTTACAAATATCTTCTCATAATGTATTGTACAATATCTACGTGTTGGAGAAAGTAAAATCGAAGGAGAAGATGCGGCTCGTTCGAAAGAACACGAACAGGGATATTCTTACACAAACTGCATCGTGTAACATTTATTTGTCAGTAACTAACGTATGTATATATTCACAATTTTATGACAAAATTTTACTCTCGTCGACACCGACTGGTGCGATATAAAAAATCGGCGAAGTAAATGTACCTTATTATCGGATTGCTCCGCGCCCTCTAAATTGATCTCTATTTAATTCATATTTTTGTTTCGTTCTAAATGATAAGTGACGGGTAATTCACGCGTAATCGTTTTA